TGTGCAGCTGGTACACAGTGAGGCAGAGCTTGTTGAGGTTGATGTAGACGTTGACCAGCAGATCAGAGGGCAGGGCGGGGGCGAACATCCGCTGTAGGGAGGCCAGGCAGGCAGGTGGGGTGGGGAAGGTTAGGCACAGATGCCCCAGAGCCCCCTGGAGGGGCCCAGTCCTCACCCCATGGACTGGGGCTTCTAGACGCTCCCCACGCGGCTTCCTGGACTAGCTTGGGAACCTACGACCCAGACTAGGGCTGATGTATTTGGGGGATACAGGATGGAAGCCAAGGACCCTACCCCAGAAGAATGCACAGACAACTCAAATGGCAACAGTCTGGGGCTTGAGGAGCCCTCGGTTTTGCGTGTCCCTCCCAGAGGCAAGCTGGACTCCTGTGTGGGGACCTGTCCCCTGGAGTGGGGCTGGCTCCAGGCACTGACCGTGAGGCCGCTCATGGCGATCTCAGGCAGAGTGAGGGCGGCGGGGGTGGTGAGCCGGTTCCGGGCTCTGGTCAGCTGCAGCATCACGGCATCCATCAGCTGTGGGGAGGGGGCTGGTCACAACTGCAAGGGCCTGGCCCCCCTGGCCCCTGGATCGGGGAGCAACAAAGTTGTGGGAGCTCCCACGTCCCGCTCTGGAGGTCACAATCTCGGCCTGACACACACAGCAGGGGGTTTGTTAAAGATGCAGGTAACTGGGCTCCAGCTTGCAGCAGGGGCCGGACACCCACACTGCTGACTACCCATCCAGAAGTTTCTATAGTGCAGAATCCTGGGTGCTGGGCCAATGGGGAATGTAAGACCTGGAAGTTAGTCCCAAGAGCATGAGGGCTTTATGGAGGTGAGTTGCAGGCAAAGAGGAGCTTATAAGAAGGAGCCCTAATTCAGCTTGAGTTCAAGGGGCCAGGGAGGGCTTTCTGGAGGAGCCAATGGGATGGCTGAGTTGAGACCCTAAGGCAGGCATCAGGTGAGAAAACTGAGGCTCTGAGGGGTAGGGTCACGTTAACAATGGAACCATCTGGAACTCATCCCTTTTGCACAGGGCAAAGCCCTGGCTTGGACTCCTCAGAGCCCCAGCTTCCTCTACTTCCAGCTGTTGCCATCCAGCTGTTTCTGTGAGCACCAGGGTGACCTGGCTCCCAGGAAAAGTAGAATTGCTAGATGGAAGCACAAGGGACTCCACCTCCTCTCTCCTCAGGGTGGTCAGTTTTGGAGGGACCTTACTCCATCTAGTTCCAAGTTTCCATATGAGGAACCACAGGTCCAGAGGCAGGGGGGCTGCCTGAGGACACACAGAAAGTCAGGGGCAGAGCAAAACCAGGAGTCCAGCACATCTGGGCTCAGCTCTTCATGTCATGTGATTTCACTTGGTTAATTACAAGGGTTTTTTTTTGGTGCTAGTACTGTCAGCAGCTACTGTTCACTGAGCATTTACTAGAGCCTAATTTACCTGCATTATCATGGTCGGTAGTGCCACAGCTTGTCTTCCTCTTTCAAGTGAGGATAATGAGGCACAGAGTGGCTAAGTAAGTGACTTGAGATTGCACAGCTCGAATTGGAGGCCTGGGATCAGAACCCAGGTCTGATTCAGAGTTCAGGCTGTGAGCCATTCAACTATGGCTGGCTGGACATGTGGATACTGAGAGAGAAGGTTCAACAGTCAGCTGAGAACCTGAGAATGTGAGGCAAGAGCGCTCCAGGGGCCTGTGAGGGGTTAGGGCTGGGGGTTGGGGAACCTGGTTCCCCTGTCCCTGTGGGCAGCTCACCTTGAGGACCTCTGCTCCAGTCCTAAACTGGTAGCTCTCATCCCGACTGGTGAGGAGGTAAATAGCTTGGCTCACGTGGTTCCTGGCATCCTGGATCTAAAAATGGCATCCACAGAGCAATCAGTGGCTTGGGCAGGGGAAGCGCTGAATTCAGGGCAGCTGTGGTTTCCGGGGCTCCAGCCCATGGGCCCCACTCCCAGGGGCCATCGTTAAGGGGCAGGGTGGCTGCTGCCGACCTAATCCCTCCCCCTGAACTGTTGGCTCAGTGACCTCCAAGGGCTGGGCCCTGTGGCACAGACTGAGGCCGGCGCAGTCCGGGCCTCCTGTAGCTCCCCTTCTAGAGGAGGTTAGATGGTGGTGAATAAAGGTACAAGATGACAACAGACTGGGTGACTTACCTAAGGGAACAAAAAGTGTGGCCAAGGAGGGGAGGGGGCGACCCCAGGGAGACAACTCTTGAGCACCACTGCGTGCTGAGAAAAGCCAGGGAGAGGACTCCAGGCAGAGAGAGGAGTCTGGGCAGAGGCCTCGAGGTAGAGACCAGCTGGTGGCCAGTGATGAGAGGGGGCACAGGCAGGGGCTGGGTCACACAGGAGCTGGTAGGAAGCCTGGGCTTCATCCCCAGGAGTTGGGGGAAGCCCCTGGGGGCTCTGGGCAGGGGGTGCCCTGTTGGGGAGGACCCTGTGGTTCCCACAGACAGGCCAGGTTCTCCACTCCCCAGCAAGCGATGCTCTGGAGCCCGAGGCACTGCATGCTCCAGCTTTGCTGCTAGGAAACACCACCCTCCCGGGCTTGCTGCAGACACAAATCGCCAGCACCGGGAGGCCTCAGCACTGACGGCCTGCCCCTGCCTGCCCGTGTGACCTGAGCCCTGGTCGGGGAAGGGCCCAGTTACCTGCTGCAGCTTCCACTGCTTGTCCTCCCGGAAAGCAAAGTGCAGCAGCTGGCTGTTCCGGGGCACCTTCAGGTTCACGTCCTGATGGGCAAGAGTGGGATAAGCCGGGCAGAGCGATGCCCTTCTGCTTGTGGCCCTTCTGGGCCCTTCAGCAGGGGACAGAAATGGGTGTGGGTGGTGGCTCAGGCCCCAGCCACTCCATGGGGCAGGAGGTCTCCCAACACCCTGACCACTTGGAGGGTGAACAGGAAACAGGAACTCAGGCCCAAGAGATGAAAGAGAAAAGAGGGCAAGAAAGGGGAAGGTGGCCTGGGCTGGGAGGAAGCGTGTGACTGTGGGCAAATAGGGAATATCTGTACAGGCCGATAGATTTGGCGTCTGGCATGGGCTCAGGTGCAGACGGAGCTCAGATGTTAGCTGATCCCACTCAGATCTGGGGCCAGTCTTATTCTGCAAATGCCCACGCTTCACTGGGCCCAGACTCTGGGCTGGGCCATGTGCACAGCATCCCACTTCCTGCACTTCTCACTGAAGCTGCACACCAATCCCATGAGGAGGACCAGAGAGGTCAAGCCTCCTGCCCAGGGTCACACATCCAGCTGGCAGCAGAGCTGACAAAAGCAGGAAGTTCCCGTGCTCTTCCCTACTCACCGCCTGGCTCAGCGCGTCTCCTTGCAGAGTCAGCACGCCCTTCACCTGGTCTGTGCTGCAACACGCGGGGGTCAGAGCGGTGCCTGCAGCTGCCCTCTGCCCTCTCCCACCTCCCGCCTCCCCCAGCGGCCTGCCCCTGGCCACCGCAGGATGGTCCGGCCTGGCCCACTGCACACCCTCTTGCAGTGGGAGCTGAAAGCAGCCTCAGGGCAGGGCCATCCCCCTCACAAGGAACCCCCCCAGCCCTGTGCCCCAGCTCGGGCTCACCCACAGCTGCTCAGGATGAAGTTCTCCTGCTTGGCGGGCCCCTCGGAGCCAGAGCCCGGCAAAGTGAAGCGCAGAGAGGCCTCCTGGGGGCAGAGGGGAACGGGGTAAAGTGCACCCAATCCACCCGGTGCGCCTTCCAGAGGCCACACCCCGGTGGGCTGGCCTCACCCAAGCCTCCAGGGCACGTGCCACAGCTAAGGGCCCTCCCCCACAGCCTGGGTTTCCGGTCCCACCTGAGCCACACCTGCTCCTTCCGTATTTCCTGGGAGCCTACCTTGAACCCAACACAGGGATATGGAAAAGGGGGAGAGATGCTCTCCCAGTTTGGTTTAGGTGCTGGGTGTGGGGAACAGGGTCAGGAAACTTCAGTAGTCATGGCAACCCACAACTCTGGCCGTACCAGGCACTGCTGGACGTTTTTGTGTTAACTGGCTTATCTGTCTTCATGTCAGCCCTTGTCAGGCCGGTACTGCTATTCTCCTTTTTGCATAAGGGGGGGCCCAGAGAGCTTGAGTACTTGGCTAAGGTCACAGTCCCGGGGTCCCTCAGATCTGAGATTAAATGGCACGGCTTCAAAGGAAGCCTGCCCTGACCCCCACGGCGGCTGGGGAACCACTGGGCAGCCGTCTGCCGGTGCCCCCCGACTAGACTCCAGGTGCACTGCGGGCAGGGCCTGGTCTGCACAGCACGCGCCGCGCCGGGGACAGTCGCTCGGCACGCAGGCACGGGCGGGGGCCGGGGCCGAGGTACCTTGAGGATGTCCTGCAGCTGCCTCAGCACGGCGTGCACCTCGTCGTGCAGCAGCCAGCGGAACTCCTCCTCCTGCGGGGACAGGCCCGCTGTCATCCGCCCAGGCCCGCCGCCCTCGCCCTCCCGACCGCCCCCGCGCCTCACCAGCACCGCCCGCTCCGCCGCCGTCGCTGCCATCGCCGTCGCCATCGCAGCCGCTCGCCGCCCAGCGACGGTCACGGGGGCCCGTCCTCCGGCCGGTGGTGCGCCAGCAGCTTGTCCCCGCGCCAGCGGCTCAAGGGGCCACCCCCGCCGCCGATTGGCTGCGCGAGCGCCCGCCCCGCCCTCCGGCCCAGCCGCCACTCAGCGTGCGCCCCGGAACGAGGCCGGCGGCTGCGCCGACCCGTTGGCACCGCCTCGCCCGGGACGCCGCGTCCCCGGCGGCTCTCCAGCCGGGCGGCCCGCCCCCTCCCGGCTCTGGTAGGGCGCGCTGCTCCGCTCGCGCTCGCTGACTGGCCGGCGCGGTGGCTCGCTCTCGCCGCGCCCGGCGATTGGCGGACGGGACAGCCCGGCCCCGGGCCGCCAAGGCCGTCGGGCTGCGAGGGGGCAGCGCGCGGCCCAGACCGCCGGGCTCTTCTGCCCTCGCCGCCTCGTGCCCGGGCGCAGATCACCGCCAAAGGAATCGGTCAACGATTTGGTTACCAAGAAACGGTTTATTTTGCTTGCAGTAGCTTTTTGTTAATTGCACAAAAATCATGTTTTTTGCCATTTAAACATTTCCACACAATCCTATTCTGAAAGACATCATTAAAAACAAAGCAAAAATAAAAATTCACGACCTTAATTACCTAGATTTGTCATTTAAAGGTGGTTTAAAGGAAAAAAAGGGGGTGATGGAGGAGGGGCTTTCTTACAAGCTTTTTCACAAGTGTCACATTTTCTTCTTAGAAGGGAAGGATTTCAAAACAAAGGTGAAATAGCTTAAACAAAAATATTCATAAAAAGGAACTTTACAGAATTGTCGACAATATTAAGACAACATTGACTAACCAAGTTCATTACAGAATTTCCCCCCACCCCCACCCCCCGGCATCCGGCCAGGACTAGAACAGGCTTTGTATTTAGACAGAATTCAAAATCTCAGTTAAATTAACTGTGCCAAAAACCCACAGGAATCTTCCCGGCCAGAACCGCACGTCCTCCGAGATGCCCTCACCTGGGTTCGGATGAGCGGAGGGCCAAGGCTGAGGGGGAGGGGCCCACACGGCGCGGCCACCTCGCTGGGTGTATCCATCGTAAATGCCGACCTTCTGCACAGTGCGGCTTCGGAACCCCACCCAAGGCAGAGGGAAACAGCCGACGTCCTTGGGGCGGCTTCTGGTTCTCACGCCACGTCCCAAGCCCCTGCGGTCCCCCGTGCCAGGGCAAACGCCAGGGTCTCCAGGTCTCAGACGCACCTCTGGGGGCCCGCTGGCTCAGGCTCGGTGAGGCCCGGCTCTCCGGCCCCCCGACTAGGCCCGGGGCCTTGCAGTACCGAAGGCCATGCTGCTGGCTCAGGTGGGACACCCATTCCTGCTTCAAGAGCTGAGCTAAGAAATTGTCCTCGTCAGGCTGGGTCTGGGGCCAAAGGGACAGAGGGAAACACTGTCTCCACGCGAGGAGGGGGGAAGAGCCTGGAGAGGCGGCGGCGTGTGGGGTCTCGTGCTGGGGGCGAGCTGGAGGTGGGACCGCCGTGCGGGAGCCCGGGTCGGAGAGGCTCTTCCGAACCCGAAGAGTCTGTGGCCTAACGGAAACAGGAAGGAACCCCTCAGCGCGCCTTCCCACGGTCTGGAATGCAAGTCCAAATACGGGACGGCCTGGTGGGGCGTGAGCTCCCCTCCCACTGCATCAGGCAAGTCGGATCCCAGCCCGGGGCCGAAGGGCCGGCGGCTGCTGGACAGGTGCTGGCGAGCGGTAAGGGCAGCGGGCTCGGGGAGGCTCCCCTACGGGCCGCCTGCCCGCTCTCGGCTGGGCTCTGCCAGTCTCTCAGCTCGCAAGGGCATCCATGGAGCTGGCTGCTCATCGGCGGCTCGGCCGGGACGGCCCACGGGACCCCTGCTCGGCCCCCCGCTCGGAGTCTGCGCTGGCTCCCCTTGGCCCAGGGCCTCCCTGCGGGGATCGGCGGGGGATGCGGACGTGCCCTCGGCCCTTCACTGAGGGAAGCGGTAGGAGGGCTGCCAGTTCTCACAGCTGATCTCCATTCCTCAGCTGGAAGGAGTCTGAGCTAAGACAAGCTCAGGAGAAGGAGAAAAATGCTGGGCCCCAGTTTCTGGGCAGCTTCTATCCTGGGGTGAGAGCCGGTATGCGGGGTGCGTGCGTGGGTGTGTGAGTGTGAACACACAGCCCCCAGCCAGGGGCGCCCCCTCTCCAGGGCCTCGGGGCAGGAGTGATGTGTGCTGTGCTGACGGCAAGTGTCAAAGTCTGTACAAAGGACACGGAGACAGGCGGGCTGGTCCGGAGCTGAGTCCCAGGACCCCGGACCCCGGGCCCCACGTGAGGAAGGACGAGTCGGAGGGAGGGTCGCGGGCGGGGGCGGGGCCGGGGGCTCAGTGTATATAGGCTCGGTACACGGCGGACATGTCGTTGTCAGACTGGTCCAGTGCCTTGGCTCTTTTGTACACCTGGAAAAGAGGAGATGGGCTCAGCCTCTGGCCGAGCTGACCGAGAGGCCCGGATCTCCGTCCTGAAGGCAGCTCTCGATGCGGCCGAGCGGAGCGCTGGAGTCTGAGCGTCCGGGTGCAACTCCTGGCTCCTGCCCCGACTGGCCCGGCCTTAGGCCGAGAGCCCCCGCCTCTCTGTGCCTCCCCGCCACTGCCCCGCGACCATTACAGGCAGTAACAGGGTCACCGCGGGGGCTGAATAGAGTCCAGGACAGGATGTAAAGTGCTCAGAGCACCGTTAGTGATTGTCACCACGTCCCTTCCTGCTGACGACCCTCCAGGGGCTTCCTGTGTTCCTCTGGGCCACTTCCCTGTCCTTCCCTCAGCACTGGCTCCTTCCCAGTAAGCTCCAAGGCCTCCCCTGGTCATTCCATCCAAAGCAGGGGATGCACCACTTCCCCCTGGCCACCTCGATCTCTCTATTCTGTTCTAGTTTATTCATATTTCTGGATCTTCTGAAATTCTACTTGTTCAGATACTCCCTGTGCTTATCTGGCGCCTCCTTCCATTAAAATGTAAGCTCCACATGGAAAGGAAAGGGCTGCTCCACAGGGACACACGGTGAACATGGAAGAGCGCGAGAAGAATGAAAGCGTCACTGTTCAGCAGGGCAGCACAGCGTCCCGCATGCTGAGTGGATGCAGCTGGACACAAGACGCTGCCCGTATGGCCGGCTGTGCTGCTTTTAAAAAACGTAGTCAGGTTGGAGCCCCCATAATTGAGTGTCCATTACAGCTCCAGTGTAGCTGTCAACTCAGAACAAAGGCTACATAAAGACCTCTTTTTCAGGTAAAAGACAACTGTCACCACCTGACTGCATTACAGGAATTGCCAGAGACGGTTCTTCTAGCTGAAGGAAAGTAATACCAGAGAGAAACTTGATTCTTCAGAGAGGAATGGAGAGCACTAGAAATGGTAAGGCAGGGAAATAAAAAACTTTTTTTTCTCTTAATTTCTTTAAAATACATATGATTACTTAGAGCAAAACATCCCAACATTGTCTGGTGGGTTTAAAACAAAGGCAGAGGTAACACAAAGGACACCTGTACCCCAAAGCAGAGGTTCTCAACTTGGGGTTATTTTGCCCCCAGGGGACACTTGGTGATGTCTAGAGACATTTTCTGTCAAAGTGCTGCTGGCTCTGTATGGTGGGTAGAGGCCAGGGATGAGGTTAGACACCCTCCAATGCACAGGACGGCCCCACAGAGAAGTGCTGGTGGCGCCCAGGTGGGAAGCCACTCCGTAAAGCATCAGGGAAGGAGAGGTAAAAACGATCAGTGCTTTATGTGAGGAGGTACGATATTAACTCTAGGTGGGCTGTATAGTTAAGGATGTACATTGTGGTCCCTAGAGCAAAGAAAAAAGCAATGCATCATTCAAAGCCAATAAATAAGATGGAATTCTAAAAAATATTTAAATAACCTGAAAGAAGGCAAGAAAGGAGGATAAACAAAGGCCAGAGGGGACAAACAGCAATCAAATGATGTAACAGCTGCTCCAAATCCAACCATAGATCCACAGACTTCAAGACAAAAGCCACATGTCAACTGACTGGCTAACCGTAGGACCCTTACACTGAGCTCCACACAGCGCAGTGCCTGGATTCACAGCATCTCATCAGTCAGAAAGCCCCTCGCTCCATTGAGAAATTAACCCAAACGTGTGTTTCCAAGCCAGTGAATACTGTACGGTCAGGGTGGAGGCAGGTCAGAAATCACCTCATAGAGAAGCGTGTCCACCGCAGCCACACGCAGAGCCCTGCAGAAGTAACTGTAATAACAAGCTCATGGACAAAAAATTAGAGAATACACAAAGAATTCCATTGCCAAGAGAGACCCCACAGGTAGAACAAACAGGAGGAGCCTGAAATCGTGCTGCAACCTGGAAGAGCGAAATGTTCAGACAGACAAGGAAGAGGCAGATCACAAAGCGAAAAGGCAGGTGTGAAAAAGAGCAGTACTGTTTTATTTATTTTTTCTTTTCTGGAACAAGCCACTTGAGACCTCTATTTAGCTTGAATGAAGATGTGTATCAGCTTATAGCTCTCGGAAGATGCAGCTTCTAACATAAATGAACCTATGTTATTTCACACATATGCTCTACAAAATGCAGCTGCCACTGTAACTCTATGGTATAAAGACGATATTGCTCGGCTGAGGGGTGGTGGTGTGTTTTAAAGACCAAGACTTCCACCAGGTTGATGTAAGCAAGCTGAACTTACAAAAAACTGTTTTCAAGAAGTGCATACTTAATAAATTTCTCATTCTAAAAAATGTTAATGACTGAACACTCCAATTAATAAGCAGATATTATCGGAATGGATAAAAATGCAAGCCTGATTATAAAACATCTACAAAAGATACCATTTAAATATAAAGACACAGGTTGAGAGTAAATGTATGGGAAAAGACATGACATGGAGACAGTGTAAGTATGAGAACTGTACCAGTTAAGACTTTAAGAAAAAGACCAAGAGGGCTATTTCATAATAAAGGGTGAATCCATCAGGAAGATGCACCGGTCATTAATGGCCAAGAACCCAGTAACAACAGTGTTAAAGACAATAAGCAAAAAGGACAGAATTAAACGGAGAAGCATATCATCCCATGATCACAGGTGGATATCTTACCATCTTTAGCAACTGAGAGAAAAAGGTTAGTAAAGGATCTGAAAAACCACTACCAACCATTTTGACATAACTGATTATCCGCAGAACACAATCTTTTTTTGTAAGTATACCAAGACACATAATCTGCTGGGCCACAAAACACTTGAAATAAATTTAAAGAGTTAAAAATCATACCCGGCATGTTTTCTAACCACAAGAGAGAGACATTAGAAATAATCATTAGATATCCAGGAAAACCCCAAATATTTGACAGTTTTAAGTAATCCACAGGTCAAAGAAGAAATCACAAGGGAAGTGAGCGTGGCTCAGAGGAAGAGTGCGGCTTTACAGATGCTCCTGTTAGAAAAGGGAGCTTGGTCTTGCTACACTGCTAGACAGTGACCACAATACAGGGGATGAGGGTTCGATAATATGGGCGAACGCTGAAACCACAACACCGTTCGTGTGAAGCTTTCGTAAGACTGTATATCAATGATACTTTAAGGAAAAAAAGCTTAAAATCGATGACTCACCTTGCAAGGTTAGACAGAAAGCAAAGGAAAGCCCAGGTAGGAGCAGGGAGGGGCAGGAAAGCAGGGGAGGCTGCGGGGACACGGGACAGTGCCACTGTCATTACCTCATTGGCTGCAGCTGCCATAGGAGTGGGATGGTTGACGGCATCACCCAGCGCAATGGCCAAGCGCAGATCCTTCTGAATGTATTTCAGGTAGAAATCAGGCTTAAAGTTTCCTTGCAGGATATCTGAGGAGGGAAAGCCACTTATCAGAATAAAATAAAGAAACCATCCACCACAGTCAGGGCTCAACACCTAGCATTACTCCCCACCTTGGACACCCAAGAGACAAGTTCCCAGCCTGTACCCCCAAATCCCATCTGTCGTGACTTGGGACTCCCTCTGACCAGGGACACAGACTGACTGGTGAGGGTGCATCTTTCACATCCAACAAGCCTCTAAAGAAGAGACTGTTCTGTGATAGCTGCCTGACCCAGTTTCCCTCCTCCAATTAAAAGTAAAATGCAAGAGAGGCCAAAGGCAACTCACTTTGGCACTTCTGGTCCAGAAAGATGCTGGCCAGCTGTCCCTGATTGAGGATGTCCAAGAGAGTCTGCTGGGACTGGCCTGTCACCTGGGCCAGGGTCAGCCCCTCAGCGATGGTGGCCATGAAGCTCCCCTGGACCATGTTCACGATCAGCATCATCTTGGCCGCGTTGCCAACCTCACCTGCCCAGGGTAAATCGTGGTCATGTCCCAAGACTTCTGTGGGCAGGGGCTTTCTGCCCACCCCCCTTGCCCCTGCTCAGACCCACCTCTACACCCTGGGGAGGTCCCATTCACCTGCCCCCGACAGAACTGGCTCTGACCCTTCGGGCTCTTCCTCCTTCCAGGCACTGACTGGCAAGTCAAAGGAAACCTTCCCATGGGGGCCCCAGGCAGAGAGGCCATACGGGATTGACGCTGTCATCAGTGCGGTCTAGAGGGGATGTGGTCCACCCAGCCTCCAGGCCTGAAGTGGCCTGACAGGTGGGCAGGTGTGTTACCTAGAAAGAAGGAGGTCTTCCCCATTGCCTGGAAACAGCTGCTGCAGTCCTCATATAAGCCCCTGTCTCCGGCTGCTAAGATCACCAACATCCCATCATTAGACAGCTGCTGATTCCCTGAGACCGGGGCTTCCAGAAAGCGGCCCCCCCTGGACACAATCACCTAGAAAGGAAAGTCACAGCTTCTGGAGGCCTTGCTTCTCCCAGGGGTCTCAGGTAGGGGACAAGGAGTACACGTGGGCGGGAGAACTTGGCCAAAGCCCCAAAGCTGACATCTGTACCGAGATGAATTAATGCCACGGCAGAGCCAGCAACTGATGCTTGAATTATATGCAGTACACAGGAAGTGGGGTCTCCTCAGAGGCTCACATTTACTCAGAATTTACAAAGACTATGACAAGCATGACCATGACAATGGCTTGGCTGGCCATATGTCCCACGGCCACTGTCCTTCCGACTTCTTCAGCCACCCTCAGGACACACGTGGGCCAGAAGTCACTGTCCCCTCACACCTGGGCCCAGCAGCTCCAGGAGGAAGGACACTCTGCTTGAATCAATTGTAGGTAACTGCTTAAGTCCAAAAGGCCCTGGAGGCAGCCCGGACGTCCATCCCAGTGGGCAGCACCTCTCCTCCTGAGGCCAGACTAGCTGCAGCTCTGGAGGTCGTCAGTGAAGACAGGCTAGTCCCAGGGCTACTGGCCTCTCCTCTTCTCCCTGGCCCTGGCACTAGAGTAACCAAGTTGGCCATTCTTGGGTGTGGCCAGCCTGAGTGAGGCTGCTACCTGGGCCAGCTCGGTGACTGTGTCGGCATCCACTGTTGACATGTCCACGTAGCACTTCCCAGGGCGGATCCCTTGCAGCACACCACTGGGGCCCAGCACCAGCTGTGGGGACACAAGGGACAAGCAATAGCCCAAGCTCCCAGCCAGATACCCAGGAGCCCCTCAGAGATAATGTCAAATCCCTGTGGCTTTGACTCATTTCCCCATTAGGAACTCAATACTAAAAACTGGTAAATAAGCAAAAGAAAGAAAAGCATTTCTAGTATGTTCCATTTATCTGAAAAAAATGTGTGTTTCTTTTTATTAAAAATCTCCCACTTAAAAAGATGGAATCTCAAAATTTTTTCCTTTGGGCTTCTTTGGATTTTTCTGCATTAATCACCATGTTAACAAGGGGACCGGGACTGCACTGGAACTGCTGAAAACACAGTACAGCTAAACAGAGGAACTTGGCACTAGGGCAAAGGCGCACTCAGCCCCAAAGCTTCCAGCTCAACAGGAATACCTGGGCCAGGCAGGAGGCATCGCAGCACAGACCTGAGGGGACCCTCGTCTTTGCATTGTTTGCTCGAATTAAAGGAAGTCTGTATTCAATTTAGGCAAACAGCCTTTACAATGGGAGATGGCCCCCAGAAGGGAAATTCAGCACCCCCACATGCAGACACTCACTCGGTGTGCTGGGGAGAAGGGGAGGAGGCCAGCCAGCTTTCCTGGCCACAACCTGAGATGCCGAGGGGAGGGAGGGAATCCTTACGTCCTTGGCTGCTTTTGGATCCGACACGCAGGCAAAAGTGATGTCACAGGTTGAAACGACTTCAGCGGGGGTTCTTCCTAGGCGGGCCCCCTCCTGGATGAACAAATCACACTGCAAAAGTCACAGATCCTAACGTGAGCTGCAGGCAGTGCACAATAAATACACCAGCCAAGCCAGAAACATGCTACGCCAGTCCTCCTGGCCTGCCTCCCAAGACAGGAGGCTAAGGCTGGGAGCTGGAGACACAACAGCTGGTGGTCCAACTTCTAGAGGGAAGTGGACAGGACACTGTATAAGGACTGTCTTGTGTTTTTGCGTACCTGGTGTCTAGAACAACGTTCTACTTCACAGTAAGCACAAAACAAGTGTCTGCTGAAGGTTTTCTCTTTGAGGAACAGGATCTAAGTGATAGCTGTGCACAGCCCGCTGTGGCCATCTCGGTTGTGGCAAAACCCACCTGCCCTGGGCTCTCTGGATTGGCCTGGGGAAGTGGGACTGGGGCTGGGAGGCTGCCATTCCTCACTGGGATGTTTCTGGGAGTCTAAAAGGACTAATTTTTTCTTCCTGAGAATCAAAGGCACCCAGAACATCTCATAAGAAGACACATATTGACTTCAGTATATTTCCTTTTTCCAAAGGCATTTAAAGAAGTAATTAGAATAATCTGAAACTATTATTTTGTGTGATTTACATTTATCCCTGTTATCTTTCATAATTACTGTTTATAGAAACTTCAGGACAGTTCATGTAGAGATATTTACCTAGCAGTGCCCCTGCAGTTTGATTATCTAGCCTGCTTTTAAGTACAAATTACTCCAATAATGATCTTTACATACAATACCTCTGGTGTTTTGAATTTAGGCCTCAGTAGGTAGCATATGTGCCACTGATTCTCAGAGAACCAACTCTACTAGATGGAGTCTGAGGCTGTCTGGTCTACGTGATGGGTCATCGCCTTTACTGCAGCGTGCATGTCCCCGAGCCTTGTAGTTTGGAGCTTTATATTATATTCTAACCTTTGCACAGGGGAGATCTCCCCATTACTCTCCCTTTCCTGAAAATTTTTAAATGTTCCCTTATTGTTCCAGAAGAATGAGAAAATCATTTTTATCAAGATTCTTTTCAAAAAATCCCATGGGGATTGTCAAAAGGATTAAATGGCTTTGTAATGATATTTACTACATAACCTGTGCCAAGCCCTATGCTGAGCACCTCACATCAACTCATTCAAGCTTCACAGCCCCGTGAAGCAGGTGTTTCTGCCGTCATCGCTTTACAGATGAGGACTCCAGGCTCAGGGAGTGAACCACGGTGCTGAGGAAGGCGAGCAGCAGCAGAGCCGCACCTTAGGTCGGTCTGACTCCAGACCCAAGTTCATAAACGCTCTGTTCTACTGCCTTCCCGTAAATTAACCTGGAAAGAATGGCCGTGTTTATAACATTTAGGCTCTCCAACCAAGAAAATAGAATGACCAGACGCACGTCTACCAAAGGGAAATGCACTTATAATGCAAACCCTCTGATTCTCTTGACGTTCTTTAACTGTGCAGTTCAGTCTCTTGGTTCCCCCAGCCTTGAATCACAAAATATCCTGCTGACAGGGACTCTAAGATCTCACTCCTGACTTAGGTGCCTGCAGCACCTATCCAAAGCCCAGCACCTGCCACCCAAACTCCTTAGCACGGCCTTCAGTGCCCTCTTCCCCAGGTCCCCTTCAACTCACAAGCAGTTTCTTTTTATTCCTGAAAAGGACTTTGTTTTAGCAAAATGAAACAATTTACTTTGCCTAGAACACTTTTGTTACTACAAACTCGTCAGTCCTGATACCTCCTTCAGCAATCACACCGCAGTTCAGCCACACCTTGCCGCACAGGGCGACGCTCACCCAGGCATTTCACAAACACATGCTCAGCCACACCCTGTTCCTCAGGAGGCTGGTCCTTTCTCAGAATCTCCTCTGGTGCTACCGACAAGCACAGTGCTTTAGTTTTCTGGTACTCGGACTGTGGTTCTTCATCTTTTCTAGGATGAGAACTTGATGGCAAGTCATAGCCTCACTCCCTTACAAAAGGTGCACATTCACAGACCTGGAATCCCATTTCAAGACCCCTTGATGCTGCAGACCATCTTAGTTAGGTTAAGAACTTCTAAAACTGTCCTGTCCAATATGGTATGCTTGGCTGCAGGCGACTACTTGAATTTAAGTGAAATAAATAATTCAATTCTTTAGTCATATTAGCCATGATCCAAGCATCCAAGAGCCACACGTGGAGGCTGCCACCCTGCATGGTGCACACAAGGGACCACCTCCATCACTGCAGAGGCTCTGCCGCATGGCTGCTGACACAACCCCAACACCACAACACTGTGCAGCCACCAGCAAGGTCAGAGTAGACCTAGTGACACGCACTCCACAGCAGTGGATTTGTAACATACACACACCGACACATAGTTGCATGTGTGCAGAAAAAAAGCATAAAAATATATAATATGAGCTACCTGATGTAATGGCAGGGAGGGGAGACTTTCCATTTCATTTTATACCCCTGGTTCTTATAACAACATTCCAAGTTTATATACATCTACATCTCTACCTGCCTGAACTCAGCCTGGCTTCTCCCACTCTACTGCAGGCAGAATGCTGAGTGGAGACAAAGGAAGAAATTCCTATCCTACCCCACCTCTAAAAATCAAGGCTCTACCCGTCCTACGCCATCTAACAAATACTGCCATGAATGCTTACTTTTTCTGCAGTCCGGTTCCACACAGTCACTGTGTGACCCATTTTTAGCAAGTTGGAGACGATGCCACTTCCCATGAGGCCAAGGCCCAAAAATCCTATCCTGAAAAAGAAAAACTGGTTAGTTCAGGGGGGAATGGGATGGCCCCCACCACAAACATGTCTCAGCGGTGAGCTGCCACAATGGCAGAGCCAGCAGTGCGGCAGGCTGGGCCTCGTCACACCACAGCGCTCACAAGTGCCTCTGAATTTAAACGGGCTGTTCTCCACTCTGACCGCCACAGAAAGAGGAGGGTCTCAGTTTATGCTTACAATTCCATTACAGTGAGAAAGCAGACGTCTGCCTTTCGCTCTTTCAATGTTTCCTGATCTGCCACCTTGAGTGCTGGGCCTCCAGGGGCCACTTTAAAGGACATCGGAATCCATTACAAGAAACGGAAGCAATGTGCTCGGAGCCAGCCATCTTCCTCCACTCCCGGAATCAGGATCACAGTTTTCACTTCCCCTTCCTGGCTCTGCACTAAGCCCTACCTTTGCATTCTTCCTGCGGGCAGCAGAGACGGCCTGTCCCTCTTCTTCAAAGTTCTGCCTGAGCTTTGGAGCCAGTTTCTCCAGCGCGTGAATTCTCCCTGCACCTGCCCTCCCTCCCCTCTATGCTGCCTCCACCACACCCTTCTAGTGCAGGCCCACTGTGACTCCGTGATGAAGGCGCAGACGGACAGCGTGTTCTGCCTACCTTCACCTCCTACAGCCCGCTGCTTCCTGCAGCCCCGAGAACTTGGGGCTATTGGCTACGACTGCTATTTTCACATGCTTCACAGATGACTTTATCTTGCCCAAATGTCTTTTTTTGTTCCTGCACTTTTTCATCTCTCCTTGCATGTGACATAGCTAAACAATGCCTCTTTCTTCATTTATTACATAGTGTTCTAGTTTTGAGCCTAGGTTTTCTTCCATCTCTAGACATCCCCTGCAGCTTCTCCACGTCAACTTCTTATTCTTCAAGCATTTTCAGACTTCTGGGAGTTGCATCTGCTACCTCTGCAAACTGGCTCTCATACTCAGAGGTTCCCCTAGTTCCTGCTGGAATATGCCCTTCTCACACTCTATCCCAGCAATCTGAATCAGATGTTAAAAATGTAACCCACCACGTTCGAACCCTTGCCCACTTAGGCTTCAAGCTGAAGCTTAAAAACAAGATCTTTCGTCATTCACTGCTGTCAGGGTACCGCACGCTTTCCCTATGACTCTAAACCTGAAGGATTAACGCTCTTTCCCTTTCCTGGTATCTCGAGTCATCTAGCTGACCTGGGGATGAAGCGTCTAGATATTTAACCTGGCATCTGATGGGCCCTCATGTGTCCCTGAGGCAAAATGGAGAATGTGGACTAAGTGGACCGGGTGACAGTACAGCTGCTTCACTTGGCAGCTGGCTTCACATTTTGTTAAGAAAGGGTTTGACTGATGGGCAATAACGGTCTCAGGTGACAGTAATGGGACTGTCCTCAGCCCCACCCTGGTCTTTTTTTTTGTTGTTTTAAACCAACACAATCCTAATTATAGTAAGTAACTGACCCCATCTCTCCCTTTATTAGCACATAACATGCCTCTACTCCATTCTACGAAGGGAAGTTCCTCCAAAATAATAAAGAATCAGTGATTTCAGCAGTACAAAAATTATTAGTAAGTAAAGATGCACCGCTTTTAGCCTGAAAAAGAACAGTAAGGAAGATACAGCTGGAAAATTCAGACTTGGCTTATCTTGCTCAGAATGCTCCTTCTTAGGAAAGGTCACTTTAAATCAACTGCAAACACACCTGGCCATCAGAGTAAAGGCAAAGGTGCACATGGGCATGAGCTACGGTCTGGGGACCACAACCAAGGATCTGCCACCAGCCTGGGAGGGCAGAGGGCGGCAGGCAGGCAGGTGCCCGCAGGAGAGCGGGGGAAGGCAGGGCAATGGGCTTTATTCCAAAGTCTTCATCTCTCACTCCCTATCTGCTTCCCCTACAGCCAATTTCAGGGTTTTCATCACAGTTCAACTCAGCCAGTGGTTCTCAAAGTATGGTCTTCTGACCAGCAGCAGAGCATATCTGAGAATGTGACCAAAGTACAAGTTTTCAGGCTCCACCCCAGACTACTGACTGAGAAACCCTGGATGAGGAGCAGAGCAATTGTTGCTTTACAAGTGGCTTTTCCAGATTGACTCTGAAGCACAGGAAGGCCTGAAAACCATGAAACCGGTGCCCCCCCGCGTGGGGACTCATTAGTGAGCCATGAAGCCAACCTCTGCATTCATTTACAGGACAGCTCCTATCTCCTGCAAGTCCAACTACTCCCAGGGAAAATCATTATTATTAAGAGTACAACGTTCTCCCTCTCTTCCCAATCAAGCCCCGCAATGGCTGAGATATGACCCCTGAAAAGCCTGCTTGGGGTCCCCCTGCCACCCAGCAGAATCAGACCTCAGGAAGCCTTTTCACCAAAGGTCCTACTTTTTGTCCGTGGGTGTGATGCTGCCATTCACGGCCGTGCTATCTGCTGCCTGGATGGAGGTGGACCCGGTCTCCTAGGGAGAGAAGCACAAGCCACCAGGTCAGTGTGACCAGGGAAGGTCCCCAGCAGAGGGTAAAATGGGAAGTGGGGCGCCTACGCACCTCTTCACAGACTTTCAACTTCTTTGTGATTGCTTGGTAGCAGGCGGCCGGCTGATAACGGGAGAAAAAAGGCCGCTTAGTAAACTGAACATTTAACTGGTCTTCACTGTAATTTACCTGAAAGATCAGGTCTAAAGTGGGATGTTAACCCCAAAAGCTTGTTTGTTGTCTAACTTTACTGAACTCCAAATGACACATTAGACAGTTACATGTACTACCTTGTCTAGTTCTCCACGCACTGCTACGAGGTCCCTGTGCTGACAATGACAGTGGGAATCAGAAGCCTTGTCACGAGCCCGGAGTAACTGGGCCTGGAACCCGGGTGTGTCCAACTCCAAAGGCACATCCTATCAGCAGTTCTTACCAAGGCTCAGCCTAACTCGGGGAGACTTTCCTTCCACATCCCCAGGGTTCACGGAGACGATCTCTACCAGTGAGCCTGGGCATGTACCCACCCCACAGTGCGGGCTGCCTCACCCATGGCTGAGAGTGCCCATGGTCCGATTTCTGCCCTAGACTCTGAAGGCAACCACAATTTGCTGACTTTCAAGTTTGTTTTTCAAAACCTTGACAATGCCTAATTCACAAGTGGCCTCTATGTGACTTTTTAACCAGTTGCTCTGGGCAGTGGTACAGACAGAGCCTCACTTCCGGACTAGCAGGATGAGGTTCCCATGATGCAACACTCTCTTCTCAGGCCAGCCCCTGACCAAGGACCAAGAGCTCCAAACAACCCACCTTCTCGGTCTGGCTGAGCAGGAAGTGATGGAAATGAGGGTCTGCATCTTTAACAGGCTGAAACCAGAAAATGATTAAATAAAACAAGTTATCTTCCACCAAAAGCCACTTTCTTCTGCCTGGTAACTGGCCTCTCTTCTGGCTGAAACACCCTTGGAAGCTGATCTCAACTTATAACTACCTGGAAACTCTTTTCCCATAGCTGGTCTGAGTCTTTTATAAACAACTCCTGTTCTAGATAGAGGAAAACTGGCTTCCAGAGGTTAAAGAGTAGGTATTTCTACCAGGCTGGTACACAAATTATTCCACTAACATTGTGGGAAGATATTTAAAAGGCATACCATTACTTTTAAAATCCAGACCTCGCCAGGCACTTCAGAAAGCCCAGCAGACAAAGCCAAATCAATTCTCAGGACTTTTTAAATCTTAGGGTTTTGGCCTACATGGGTCTGTGGCAGATCCACCAGTCTCGTCTCACTGAGGATCGATATTAACAAATAAAGTGGTAACAACTGCAGGACTTTTCAAAGGCTTGTCATGACCAGGCCCAGGAACGGGGCAATGGTGCATCCACACCAAGGATAAGATTAACATGCAGCTCCTCAACATCAAAGTTGTATATGCAGACAGTGAATGTGTGTTTATATAAAGTATCAAGTGGGAACAATGTGCAATTTATGTTCCCACTTTTGTGAAAACCAATCCTACTCCCAATAAAACTACACATGGGTATGTAATTATATAAATGATGTTTGAGTGGAGGGTGTATCAAAGGGTCTGAAATAGGTTAACATCAAGCTTAACAGTGAGCACCCCCAAGGGTACAGGTCTTGCATTTTTTACCCCAAACACCTCTGCACTGTTCTGCAATTAAAAAAAAAAAAATTCTCATATACAAGAAAAGGGGGAAAGGAAAAGCACATCACACTGTCAGGTCAGGAAAGCAGCCCTGAGGCTGGGGCTGTCTGGGCTGCAGGAGAGCGCATTACCTCACTCACAGTCGGCTGCCATTTAAACGCGGCCATGGGCCCAGCCATCATCCCCTTCACAGTGCTAGACTCCGGGATGGTGAGATCCTACAGAGGGAAAGGCAGACGGTCAAGATGCTGGGCTACCTCAGGCAGATGTCCTCCTGCCCCAGACTGGGGATCCCTCCTCACTGCTTGGCTTCAGTCACACTCCACCCCAAACGAAACCCCCAGCCAGCTCCACGGTCCCCATGTCAGTTTAGGTCCCAGTTGCCTTGTACCATTCTCATCACTGTCCACTGGGAGAAACAGGGAAAGTCAACAGAGAGTCAATCTTCCTTCTCTGTTCTTGAAATAACAAAATGTTCTTGCACCTAAATTTCACAAGGGTGGTGCTCACTGGGAAGCCCAACTACAATCTGCAGTGTTGTCAGCATGTCGGGGAAAATTCCTTGGCAAATGATGGACACTAAGAAAACAGTACTGATTTCAGAAGAAATCCATCTAGCTAAAATAACTAGAAAGCCACATGGTGCCAATGAGGAAATCTGCACAACATTTCACAGCTACTAAGTGACAAAGCCAGAATTAGAACCCAGGGTGGTAGGGAGACAAGAGCCCTGTTCTCTCCCTAGACTGATGCAAGGAGAGGACCCAGCAGTAAGGGGGCGCTACTCCTCACCCCTAGGCTGGCCCACCCCCGCCCTGGGTAAAGGGGCTGTTCCAGCTGTATAACTGGTCTACTCCCAGGCCCTCCATCACCGACTTTACCTCATACTCCCTTTCCCCACTGGCTATATTGCATCCAGCGTTCCTGCCATTTCTACGTGGATATCTAATGGACTCTTAACATGCCCCACTGAACTCTTGATTTCCCTGTCCAAATGGTTCCTTCCACAGTCTTCCCAATCCTAGGAAATGGCAACTCCACTCTACCAGGCCAAGATCTTTGGATCCCTTCTTGATTCTACCCTCCCCCCATCCTCTAATCCAACAGCAACAATTATGGCTTTACAATCGGTAGTCTGCAATCCCCTCTTCTTTCTACCCCCGCTAATACCCACATTCAGGCCACCACTGCCCAGGCTATAGCAAAAGGAATCTCCCTGCTTTCACTCTGGACCCCTATAGTCTAGTCTGTACACAGCAGCCAGAGCGAAGCACATCACTTCTCTTCCTGAAACTGGCTTCCCGTCTCACAGTCAAGCTAATGGCTTTATTATTGGCCTTACTACCATGGCCTATGGAATCCTACATGTTCTGCAACCCCCACTCCATGCTAATGTCTGACCGCATGTCCTATGACTTTCTCTCCCTCATGACTCCCCAGCACCCCCTTGACCCTCCACCTCCATTCCCCAAACACATGAGACATGCGCCTGCCTCAGTGCCTTTGCATAGCTCCAGACCTCTTCCAACAGTTATCTATTTGGCTCACATGTGCACTTCAGGTCTCTGCTGAAATGTCACCTTATCAGAGTGCTTTCCTTGTCCTCCTGAATCTTCCCCCATTAGAACATGATGCTGATGCTGTGATATAAGATGCTTTTATAGGGCTTACCATGTGCCAGACATTACTGTAAGCGCTCTTTCATACGTATATTTCCACAAAACCTTCACAATCTCCTGAAACAGAACTATTATCATCTCCGTCTTACGGAGAAGAAAACTGAGGCATAGACTGCTTAAATAACCTGGCCTATGGTCACAGAGGTAATAATTAGTGCAGTGGATGAAATTTAAACCCAGGGAATTTGGCTTCAGGGTCTATGTTATTACAAGTAGTTCTATGAAAGCAAGAATTTTGCCAATTTTGTTACTCTATATTCCATGCTGGGAACCATGCCTAGCACACAGCAAGTGTTCAATATTTTTTGAAGAAATGAACATGAGAAGGGCCTTGTCTAACTACCATGCTGCTTTATCTCTAGACATCTGGCCTATGGTGGAGCTGCTCAGTTGAATAAAGAGTTTGGGGGAAAAAGAGGCCTAGTGCAGCACTGCCCTACCCAAATAATTTCCTGCCATGATGGACATGTTCTGTATCTGCACTAATACAGTAGCCACTAGTTTCACGTCATGGAGCACCTGACATTAACTAGTGTAACTGAGAAAGTGAATTCTACATTTAAATGGAAGTGGTCCCTGTGGCTCCGGACAGCAAACCCTGGCGACTTGTCCAAGGCCACAGGGATGGAATGAGAGTGAGGCAGAGAACAGAGCTCTCCACCAAGCGCTGTCCAAAGGCCTCAGCTCCCACGCTGTTGCCCGCTGCCCTGCCCTGGGATTTTAGGAGAGCCACAGGACTGACAGTTCCGTTCCTTTGGGGTAGTTTGTGCCCAGAGTTGTAGTTCTCATTCTTAGCTCATGACTCGGAAATAAGGGCCTCAGAGAGAGGGTGAGAGCACACCTCCAAGTCTGCCAGCCTGCACCTGATCAACACGTCCGCCATCAAGGTCAGCCTTTTCCATTAATTCCTGCAGGACAGGGGATTATGTCCCAGAAGGGCAATCACCTGGGACTTTGCCGCCTTTCAGTTGAGGGCACCACTGTTTCAGAGAGGAGCTCACCTGCCAAGTGGCAATTACTCTATCCACACATACACTCTTTAGACCACAGGACACATTAGCTTGTAAGATGCACTGAAATTCCAGGCCCAGGCACAGATTCCTTGCATCCCTGAAGGTGAAGATCAATGATCCGAACTAAAATGGCTGCCTCTGCGCTGCACAACCAGCCACACTTCTTCCTTTGCTGCAGACAAATCCCTTACTAGAGGCTGGGCCAGGCAAGGAGACCTTCTAAAAGGACCTGCCAAAGGTCAGTAGCAGGCAGAGCTCTTGGATGGAGATGTGGCTCTGAGAACAGCAAATTAAATGTTACTACTCTATAATTAATAATTCAGACTCAAGGGCAAAATGATTTTCACCAAGAGCTTGTGAGAGGAGTCCTGAGCCGCGGCCACCCCTGGGGCTGCACTGACAGCTGCTCACTCACTGCACGAACCCCACTGCAGAGAACACATGCAGGCATCTCCTATGTGGTGCACTGCAGCCACTGGTCTAGGAGCTGCCCATGTTACTCCTTTAATGCTAACTAGACCTAGGAGGCAGGAATTATTGTTATTCCCCATGATCAGATGAAGACACTGAGGCCAAGGTAGTTGGCTAAGGTCATAAAGCTACAGCAAGTCATGGAGACACGATTGAAACTCAAGGCCTTCCTCTTAACCTCTCCTGTATACTCCCCTTTATCTAAAAAGTTGTCTCTCTCCAGGGCCAGCCCAGGAGTTGGCAAGATCCATCCACTCATGCAGTGAGAGAGTGGGTGTCAGTGCAGCTTAATACACCAGACAGTAAGAATTTGGAAAATATTATCAGACCTGACAGCCTGGGTTTGGCTGCAGCTCCAGGAAATCAATCCAACTGTATGAAATTAGATCATACCCCCTGGGAAGTTCTTCACACACCAGAGCTTAGAGTTTTCCAAACCCTTTCCACCTCTGGCTGGCAGTTCCCTGTGATCACGGTTACCCAGGCCTGTCCCCACTGACAGCCACTCCTACCTACTTCCAGTCTCAGGTCATTTAACAGAAAAAAGGATCTCTCTAGTGCTGAGATCACACAGTGGCAGCCCAAAGGCTGAAGCCAGCCCAGAGATGCTTCCTTGAACCTAAAAGTGTTTTAAAAATGTGAATTAGCTTCTAACATGTAAAACTGGAACATTCCATGTAAAAAAATCTGTATTTCTGGCTACTTTTGAAAAAAACCAGATGATGGGCCAAAGTTGGCTCGAGCTCTGGGAATGGAGGATGACCTCCCCAGGCTGCCAGCTGTTGCCACCCCCAAAGCTCTCAGCGAGGAGGTAGGTCAGGGCTGTGGGACCTGAGGCCCCCCTTCTACCCATTTACCTTGCTGGTGTCTGAATCTGTAAGCTTTGATCTGATGTCTAGTGTTTCATCACCGCCTTATCACCCATCTATTCCCACCAGCCATCTGGTCTCACTCCCCCTTGATCTTGTTCTAACAATCTTCCCCTGTGTTTTGACAGACTTCTCTCTCTGTCTTGAATTCTCCTCCCTTGGAAGCAGGTGAGAGGCATGTTATTGCTACTTAATTTTGCAGGCTCGTCCAACGCCTCCCCACCCCGAACAAAGCAGAACAGAACCCTTCACTCTTCTCCCTGCTTACTTTCCCCAAAGACAAGCCCCACATGCTCTCATGGATCCAACATCCTTTCTACACATCTGCCTCCTGAACCTACATTTCCATTCCAATGTTGCTCCAGGCTCCCTGGATGTCTAGGAGTCACCTCAAATCCATCACACTGGAAACAGAGGGGTCGGTCCTCTTGCCGTGTAAGCAGCTCTTCTCCTGACTCTTCTGCTCTCAACAAAGAACCACCACTTCCCTAGGCACAAACCTGAAATCATTTCCCTTCCCCTTTCCTTATCCATCCTCTATGTAACCAGTTGCCAAATCTTGCAAACTCTTCCTCTGAAGTGCCTCTCACGTAGTTCCCTTTAGTATCTGCTACAGTACAGCTTCATACAGCTCCTTACGTCTGCACACCTGGGTTGTGCCTTCTAACTGGCCTTTCTTCTCTGTCCTCCACAATCACTGACACACAGCTTGGAGCACACTGCCACCTCGACCCCTGGTTTTAATACCTACACGGCCCCCGACTAACTTCATGAGAGTATCACACTGCTTAAGCAGACCTCGAGGCTCTCCAAAATCCAGGGACTACCTGCTTTTCTCTCCTCACTGTCCCTCCCGTTCTCGACCAGTGCTGAAAATATCCACATCAACACTGAGCCCTGCACAGCCTATGCCCTCTGTCTCCGGAATTTCCTCCCTTTTGTCTTGCTAAGCCCTTCCGTGCCAGCCTCACATGCCAGCTCAGGTGGCCTGTGGCCTGTTCTCCTGCCGTGACCCTCCTCGTCGACTGTGAGATCCTATGCGCCGTGTTCTTATTTCATTCCCGAGCATCCAGGCTGTGGCCCTCCCCTGGTCTGCAGGATTCTTCAGGGTGATACTTAGCACAGGACTTTAAGTCCACTCAGTGAGCTGCAGTATAGTGCAGAGCTCAACTCTGCCATACACAAAAGGTAGTCACTGTATTCCAGAAGCTACAGAAATAAAACAAACCTTCTCATCCTTTGGGGGCCGACCCCGTTTCCGGGGACTCTGCTCTTGGGCTCTTTTCAGAGGGGACTTGGCGCCTCTCTCTGAAGAGCCTGAAGACACCCTCTTCTTTCCTTCTCCCATGTTCTTCTTCGCCTTCCCTTCAGACACGCTAAGCTTGCGCTTCTCATCGCCTGGGCTCAGCCTACTTCTCTCCTCACTGGAATTACGCCGATTCTTGTCATCAGCAGAATTGTGGGATGACGTCTGAAAGTATTAATAGTGATAATGGTAATGGCCACAACAGCTGCCACCCCCCCATTTATGTGATAAGAGCTTTATGTGAATTATTCATAGACAGTCCCATGAAACGTGCTCTGCTGTCATCCCCACTTATATCTGGGGATGTAGACAAAAAAAAAAAAAAAACCGAGTCACTTGCCCACAGTCCCAAAGTTAAGGAGTAGGACAGACACCCAGGCAGTGGATGTATTCCAGAAGCTGTGCTCCTAATCTGTGCACTCCAAAAGGGCGAAATGCCTGTGCTGCACCCAAATCTGAGATACTTCTCCTGGGTCCAAGTTACTTTCCAAAAAACATTATATTCCAGAAAGGTCAGCCACATGCACGGAGTTTCAAGCTGATTAGCAAAATGCTGATACCTTAGAACTGAAGTAGCACTCTCTCCGCTGACATTTCATAAGAAGAGAGTTTCAGGTCTGGGTGACATAAATCTGTTACTATGCAAAAACAGCCAGTCTGGTGCTGGCGTAAAGTGAGGATCGGAGCCTCTCACCTGGTCTTTCCCTTTGGCTCTCCTGAGGAACTCCTCCACGGCATCCACGGCCTGCTGGAACCGTTTTCCCTTGTTGATCTTGATCATTTCCTCCTTATGTGCGTGATATGGCTTTAGCTGTTCCACTTTGATCCAGGCACTAGCAGGGAACACACACAGAGGGGGAGGTGACCCACACACCTATGCCAGAAAGTACCAAAGGCTTCACCGCAGCACAATGCAAATATTCATTTGCTTTAACAGGACTTTGAAATAAGTCTGCCATTTTTTCAAAACATGCTCTTGGGCCTAAATGTATGTTTTCCTGAAACAAGCAGAACAACAAACAAAACCAGAACATCCTCTATACGAAGTCACTGTGTTGCAGGCCATTTATTTCCACCCTTGGTCACCAGCATTCCATGTGGAGCCACACCCCCTGCCATCTGCAGCAGGCAGAGGAACCTGGACATGCTACCCCATCTCCCACATGGGTCCCAGGGAGCAGACCTGGAGGCCGATCAACCAGAGCAGCATTACTGCCCATCCAGAACCGGAGCCAAACGGACGGCTCATCAACTAACTAAGAATCAGAGATGCTATGCGAGAGGGCTAAGGAAACACACCATCTAAAACCTGTGACTCTTACAGATATTTACAGCTATGGAGCCTATATTTGTTCATAAATGATTGTATCCATGGCTACCAAAACACATAAAACACGTGACACATGGTTTGGAATGAGGGCAGCAGTTACAAAAGGAGGACTTTAAAAACAAGATTATGCTTGTGATCAAAGTACAACATACTTTTCTGATACTTAATTTTTAATTCCCACCATTAATGAATAACACAAAGTGAAAAAAGCTACCAGTTGTCAATTTGGAATATCTGACCTACCATACTGACCTGAACAAATCTATTTCAGGCTGGCTTTCTGTAGTTTCCCCAAAATGACATTTAGTTTCCCAGTACAAAGGAGAGAACTATATAGCCTCGCCAAGATTAACAGTTAATTTACATGTTTTACCCTGTAACACACATAGGTTTCTTAGTACAACCTTCAGAAAAAGTGGGTCAGATTAAGGATGTAGAAACCGAGCTACCACACTGACTTAGGGTTCTCTCCTTCAGAGAAAATTAGAACATCCACTAATAATAGTCAAAGTGCTAATATGTGCACATAAAAATAGAGGTACCAACAGCAACCTATGCTTTGAATGTTGTTAATGGTTGTGACACCGAGTCTGCACAAACACAACAGCCTGCGAACACAACAGCAAAAGAGGTCTAGGCACGTCACCGCCGGCTCAGCCGGACCAGAGTGCACCCGATGGCGGGCACTCAGATGCTGGCTTGCTGCACAGCGCTGCGACCGGACGGCAAGCAGGCACCTTTCTAGTGACCCACTCATTTTCAAGTTCGAAGTTTTTACATGACAGAGCCAATGGGCCCAATCTACAGGCAGGAAAAAAAAGGAATTAAAATTCGACCCCACACTGCCTGGCAGGGCATCACTGAGCTGGGCCTTTTGCCTCTCCTTTTGCACTGACAGGGTTTTTAAGGACAGAGCGATCACATGCAAAGCCAGACGTGCCCTGAAAAGCAAGTTAAGCTGCCATCTTAACTGGCGGCTTGGAGATGACACAGGCATCAGTGATGCAGTGTACGAGCCCTGGAGTCCTGGACGGACCTCTTTTCCTCTGAGGTCACAAGCCGAGCTGTTTGCGAGCTCCAGCATAAGACCGACAAGGGTTTTTCTATGGAGCTGCTCTCGATGGTGGAATCCTTATCCCTGCCCTCTCCCACCCCCACCTTAACCTCTGATTCCGAGGAGTAGGAAGGTAAGGACATCTGTGGAGGAAGCCCCAATAAATTCATGTCCATCTTGTGGTGAAGCATTTTAAGTGGATCACTTATTTCTTCCAGAAAATACAATCAAAATTTCATCATCCTGAAGACTGACATTTGACGTACTCAATGAAAATTTCCTCTATGACCATTTTTGAAAAGTGAAAATGGTTTGCTTAATGAAGTAAAGGTATAAATATAACTTT